CTTTTTTCCTTCCTTCCTTCCTTCCTTAATTTCTCTCTTTTGTCCTTTTTTTCATTCTCTCTTTCTTCCTTCCTTTTTAGTCATCTTCTAATCTTTCTTCCTTCCTTGATATTAGTTTCTACCTATCGTATAAGCCCTAGTCTTGATCATGGATGTCGCCAAAACATTTTTTTTAAAGGAGATTTCAAAGGCAAATTTTTCTTCAAAGAATACATCGAGGAAGAAAAAAAACAGATCCACTTTGTCGGTTGATCCGAAACGGGTGATTCCTCGATCTTCATTTTAATTTTAATATTTTATTTTTCTAGAATATAATCCTTATAATGCTTTGTTTCTGTTTGTGTTATGATGTTTGTATTTCATATTTTATAACCGTAAATAAAACCGAACCAAACGACCGTCACCCCGACCAGCGTTCATAACTCAAGCCGGGGAACGTGTTGTATAGACTGAGATACTCGAGATTGAAATTCTCCAAAAATAGGTATGAGCTGTTATCTTGGTTTCTATGGTGATGAGACGTCGCAATGGAGAAGAAGAGCTACAGAATGTTTGATGATTGAAATAGAACCTCTATACCCTGTAAGCAGGATAATATGCATCTTTGATTGATTACCGTGTTGGTTAATGTGTTCGTGATCCACAAAATGAGCCAAACTGGTAATTTAGCAGGCATGCTTTCGATCTTGCTACCTTGTTGGATATAATAATAATAATAATGGTGGATTCTTATATAGCGCACATGTCCGTCACGTTGTGACGCCCCTGGCGTTGCCCCGATTATATTACCCTGGCTTTAGCAAGGCAGCAACTGCGGCGCCCTAGCATTTCAATTTCAAGGTATTACTTCCTGTCAGGTACCCATTTACATCACATGGGTTGAGTGTGGCAAATGTAGATCAATGTCTTGCCAAAGGACATTAGTGCCGCGGCGGGACTCGAACCGCGGTCCTTAAGATCGACAGTCCGTCGACGTATCTACTCGACCACGACACCTCTACATATCTTTACAGCTAGAAAAAACAATTTCCACCACAACATGTATAGCTTCGTAGGCTATATTAAAACAGAAACTAGTTATTGTTGTTTTGAAATCACAATATATAATTTAAACGGAAATTATAAATTATCTAAAACGCCATCCCCTTTTAATAATCGGGATAATTTTATTCCTTTGTCAAAAAGGTCAAAATGTTTAATGACATAAGCATTTTTCCTAGACGAAGATGCGGAAAGTGATCAGCCATTGATTTTCGCGCGCTTGTTTCAGACGATGGTTTCTATGGTGACTAGACGCTGCAATGGAGAAGATACAGAATGCTTGATGATTGCAGTAAGACCTTTACAACCTCTAGGCAGGTTATTGATTGATCACTGTGGTAAGGAGCATCACTGGGGAATCGTGTAGAGGGGTAAGGGTATGAAAACCACACCCCAATATAAATCTCTGTCAGCATAACCACTAGCTGATTTAAGGGACAGTTGCCTTCACTCCCACCCCCCTCCCCCCGCCCCCATACCACCGTCCTCAAAACCCAAAATGGCATTCCTAAAATGCTAGCACTCACAAAGTGTGTTGCTTCTTAAAGATTTGTTTATTTTCGAAATGTTGCCCCCCCCCCCCCCCCCCCTATACCCCCTATACACACGCACTTTTTTTAATGGAATCAGAGATCCATCCTTGAGCAAATCCATACATTGCTTAGAAGAGGATCATCGGATTTCCCCATTCGAGAACAACAAACAAGGCTCATATTTTCCAACACGCAATTACAAAGAAAAAAAACGAAATACAACAGCAAAGAGCGAGAGAAAATCTGTTACTACGCCATGTGAATAGAATTGATACCGTCTGATTTATAAAGACAACTTAAGAGAATTAGCAGCCCAAAAATGTGTGTTTCTTCGACCGGAAAAAGATCTGTTAGGTTACCCCTCCGCCCCCCCCCCCCCCCCCCCTCAAGCGAATTCTGTTCATTTTCTCTTTCCGAATAGCGAGACGTTGCATTGTAAAGCACGTTCAAGCATAAAAGCTTTTTAAAGGTATATCATTCGTTTCTTTAACTTTTTTTTATTTATTTGGCATTTTTCCCAATTCGGGGCTTGTCGCCCCAGCCCGTGAACTTAGAGAAATTAATTTGTTTCCCACATTTCAAAGGGGGGAAACATTTTGTTATCTGTTTCATACATGCTTCATCGTCCGGTCATCATGCTAGGATGAATGTTACATCTATTAGTATCATCGTTTGAAGAAGAAGAAAAAGGGGAATGTTCTGTTTATTTCACATTTCTTATTAAGTCGATTCCTAACGTATGAAGTCCCAATGGGCATAGTATACGCCCCTTACCCAAGGATGTTGAGTTTGCTGTCCTCAATTTCATTTTCATAAAGTATATGTGTTATGCATGTACTACATGTGTATGTGTCAAGACTTCGAATAATGGTATTTTCTTAACTCTTTTTATGCCATCTCGTATGCTGCTCTATGTGGTTTCTGGGTGGTTATGTCCGTTAAAATTGCAGCTTTAGCAAAATAAGGGTTAAGAAGCGTACACATTTTTCCGAGATACATATTATACAGGGGTGGACTGGGACTGAAATTCGACGGGCAGAATTTGGATGCGCCAGCCGACTCAACCACAGATAAGATCAACGGGCCATAAGATCTCCAGCCAAATTATTGAGCCGCCCGTGGCCAGACCGACCATGTGTCATGTAATGGTGATTCGAATGTTCATATTCCCATACTCTATTTTTTCTTTAAGTTAAGTATCATACCCCCCCCCTTATACACACACACACACACACACACACACACACACACACACGCGCACACTCAAAAGAACAGGGAAAACACTTCACTGTACATATGGCGTTCAAGTAAGCCCAATTTAGGGGAGTATCCTTCTTGGCATTCCTTTTCATTTCCACGCAGCCCCCCCCCCCCAAAAAAAAAGGAAACACATCCAGGTAACCATTTTATGATCAATTATCCTTGGTGAAATCTTCCCAATCATAACATTTCTGGTTGCCATGTAAGTGTCACACAAAAATTCCAGACTATGCGACAAACCTAGATTTAGAGGACCTACCTCATGACCCGTGGTACAGGTTGTTATAAGCTATAAAGGAATGGGTGCGTGGGTGCACCCCCATGCGCGTAAGCTTGCCCCTTTCTCTCAAAGTTGGTCATTACTTTTACCGCAGGGTATACCTTGCATGATGACAGAAAACAGTATTTGTATCTTGAAGAGGAAAAAAACGTGAGCTTTTTTTTCTACTCCGATTTGTTGTTCGATACGTGATTTTCTTATTGTCGCTCAAAGCAACTTTCTCCTTTTTTTCTTTCTTTTTGTCGTTCAAAGGAACCCTTTTTCGAAGTTCTGTTTATGTTCGTGTTTGTGCGTTTTTTAAAAAAATGTATTTCCCTTTGATTTGTTCGAAGTAGTTATATACATGTATGTATTCGTTAAAAAAAAAAAATTGTTTGAAATAAAATAAAAGTAAAAATCATTTTGTATGTATTCATTTCCACCAACGTAACATTTGTCCTGCTCTTCGTGAAAAGACAAAGTGTTGAAACATTGGAGAAAAACAGGCTAAGGAATGAGAAAGCTTTTCCCATTCTAATGTTTCTCATTATAGATGCATAGCATTCGTCTTCACTGATTAAATTTGATTAATCTAATATCATTTTTCATTCATTATTAGTACTACAAAATTTGTTTTCCTTGTCGAAACGTTCCTTTGGGCGACGAGAATCCCTTTTGTGTCCCATTTACTCTATCTAGTATAATACTTTATCCCCTCCCCATCTCTCTCGCTCTCTCTTAGTTCATCCCTCCCTCTCTCCCATCATCTCTACCCTTCCTCCCTCTCTCCTCTCTCTATCTCCCCCACCCCACCCTCTATCTCTCCCCCTTTTTTTTTTGTCTCTTTCCCTCTTTCCTCTCCCTCCCCCTCTTTCCTCCTCCTCCCTTTCTCTCTCTCTCTCTCTCTCTCTCTCTCTCTCTCTCCCTCTCACACTTCATCTCCCCCTTTCTCTCTCTTCATCTATTTCCACTCCTTGCTCTCAGAAATCACGTACCCTTTGACTAGTCTGTGTGTCTTCCATCTGTCATCAATCTTGGTATATGGTTTCTAACTCTTTTTCTAAATGTTTATCCATTATCACACCTCTGGATCAATTGAATCAAACTAATCAGAAGCCATCAGCCTCCTTCCTCGTAACTTTTATTCTGTCTTCATTTTATCTCACATTTTATCATGTTGAACCCCCAGGCGCGTACGCAGGATTTTTTTAAAGGGGGGGGGGGGATAATTTTTTAATCGGGCCGAAAATTTCGCAACGACTCAGCCAGCCGCTGAATAAGCGGGGGGGGGGGGGGGGGGGGGGGGGGGGGGGGGGGGGGGGGGTAAGAGGACATTGTTTTTGTTTTTGTTTGGTCTCGAAATTTGAAAATTTGACATTTTGCTCCATTGGGAGGGGGGGGGGGGGGGTAAGGTCAACTTTTTAGGGTCAGCCATTGGTATAATTTTTTTTTTTTTTAATTATCAAAGGGGGGGGGTTCAACCCCCCCCCCCTCCCTGCGTACGCGCCTGTGAACCCCTCTGTGTCTGGTTGAAGACACACGCTCCTGTAACAATCTGCTCCGTGGTCAACAGTCTACCTTAATCGAGTTCCTTAGTTCAACACTGGACCCAACAGTATACTTTAAAACCTCAACTCCCCCCTAAAAAAATATTTAAAAAAAAACTCCTTGTGTAGCTCCCCCTCTCTCTCTCCCTCCCTCCTCTCTCTCTCCCCCTTTCTCTCTCTATTTCTCTCTCTGTCTATCTGTCTGCCCCCAATCCATCCATCTCTATCTCTGTCTCTATCTCTCTCTCTCTCTCTCCAAACCAATAGACATCTTCCACAAACCAATTGGTCAGTGCTTCTCCATATCGCTCATTACTTTACTCCTTACATTTTACATACTACATCATAGTACACATATTATATGTACATTATAATGTACTTTATTATAGGATGCATTTTATGATTTTAGTACTTTTTTTGTTGTTGTAAATAGATGAATGAAACATCACATCAGCTGAGCAGCAGCGAACCAGTTCGATTTTCCTCTGTGGGACTCTCCTTACAAGGGGTATGACCAGCTGTCAACAATTATCTGCTGATACATAAACTTACTATTGTACGCAGCAATTGCACAAGATATGCAAAAACAAATATTTTGGCAGAGTTATACCTGCTTTAGCAACACAGGGTGAGGGGCAAGTTCAAGGCAATTTTCCCCACACGTTACCAATTAACCCTTTTGCTTACGGTAACCTGGTGGTCCCTGTGTTGAGCCTATGGGACCTATACCATTCAGCAGTCAACGGGTTAACATTAATGTCATAAATGTCAAGTTGACATCAAAATTTCTCTTTTACTTGATAACTGTAAAACATGTACTTACTAGAGCATCAATCTCCCCCCAAAACAATTGAGGAAAATAGTGCCTTTCATGTAAAAACTATGTCAATTCCATTGATATCGATGTATGGGGCACACATTGAACTTGCACCTCAGACTTAAACAGTACAAGCATGGGCATATACGAGATTTAGGTATGACTGCAAAACCATCACTTGATTCATGTTTTCGACATCGTATTTTAAAAGGAGTAAAAAAAACTTTAATCAAGTACCAACAGTCTTGATCTGTGAAATGTATCTTCATACTTATGACCCCAAAACCATACACTTTATAATCATTGTTAAAGCTTTTGAAATTTTCTAGTTTCACACATTTTATATCTCCTCTCCATCAAAACTTATGTGATGTACCATTATTAAAGGATAATCCGACCCTAATAATAAATTGCTCTGATAGACAGTAAACAAAATCAGAGAAGCAGATTGATGAAAGAAAAGGATCTTCAAATTGAGTGAATTGGTAATGTCACTGTGACATAGGGGTTGACAACTCTCCCATTTATTTTTTTCATCACAAAAATTGTTTCAATTTTTTTTTTCTCTCTCTTCAAATGTGTGATTCACAAGGGTGATGTCTTTTTAGAGGATCATGTGTAGTACCCCAATGGAGAAGGTGCTTATGAGAGAAACAGAAATTGATGATACTTTTGTTCATGACAAACGGGAGAGTTGTCCATTACTATGTCACGATCCATTGACTAAATTGCCAATTTGAGATTCGCATAGATGTAGTGATTTTATAGTTCAAACATTTATAAGTATCTAACATTGGTCCAATATATATTTTAAAATTTGGATTGCTCTTAAATCATTTTGTCAACAGTTATGAAACGATATTCATATACATGTACATGCTGTTTCATCAACATATATTCTCGCATTTTAGATGGTTCAAATTTGTATATCCCATCAATAAAACTTTAGGATGAGACATAGAAATGTTGACTTTGGAAGCACTTGCACTTAAAAGCAGACGCAATATGCCCTAAATAAATATAAAAACAATATTATTTCTTGAATCATTGTATGATACAAATATTTTATGAATTATTCTAAAAAGGGTAAAATATAAGGCACTTGGGAAAGTCAAATGAACATAAAATGAAAATAAAATTTTCTGTATTATTGGAACATTTGCTAATGTTGTTTTCACTCACATGTCTATTTTCTTAGTTTTCTTCTTCTTCTTTGCTGAAGGTTGAGATTCATTTGCTTGATCAGTAACCAGTGGAGCTGAATCAGAGTTCTCTGATGACTTTCTTTTACTGCCCTTCTTCTTCTTTTCTTTCTTTCCACATTTGTCCATAACAAGCTCATCACTTTCCTCAGATTCATTCTTACTCTTCTTATGTTTCTTTTTGATTTGTTTAACATCATCACTGATTTCATCTGAGGCACACACATCAACATTCATTTCATTCTCTTTCCTCCGTTTCTTCTTTTTCTTCCTTTCATTCTTATCTTTCTGATCATCTTCCACCACATCAGCCTTCAAAGCTTCCTCTTGGCTTTCAACTGTTTCCTCTTTGCCGACTTTAGCCTTCTTTTTCTTCTTGGAGTGCTTCTCGTCAAGAGATTGGCCGTGTCCGTTAATAGTGTCCTCTGGAACCTGTCTCTTTGATACTCCAGTCCCACTCTTCCCAGTCCGCTCAAAGAGGGCCACAAAGAATCCATTAGTCAAGTCCGTATGAGGCGATGCTCGCACGCAGCACTCCCCTATATGGTCCTCTTCCCCATCCTGACTGGTGGACAATCCTCTACGATCCCATGTACCCTGCATCACCGGCACCAGTCTGAACCCATCACTCTGCTCCAACACAGTCCTCACCACATCCTCATTCTCTTCCCTATGCACCGAGCAGGTGGAGTACACCACTCTCCTCACACTGGGAAAGGAGAGCGCATGAGTGAGGATGCGGCACTGGAGCTGATGCAGGGACCGGAGTCGCGCTCTATCCTCCTGCATGTCGTCATCCACCAAGTAGTCTTTCCTACTAGCCATACCAGACCCGCTACATGATGGATCTACTATGGTGTACTCTACACACATGTTCTCTTCACTACAGGGGTCAGTAGTCAAGAAGTCCTGATGGATAGTCTTAGCTGCAGACACTCCTGCTCTCTCTAGAAGGGTATTCATCACACTGATTCGTTTAGGGTCCAGGTCGTAGGAATAAATTTTCCTGAAAATTATGGAGAAAATGTAAAGCAGTTTAAGATTTTTACTTCATTAATTGAATAGGAAGGTTCAATGAAAATTCTAATTGTTGTTTTACTAATACACAATTAAAACAAAAAAGCAAAGACAAATTTATTCACAAAGAGTTGAGTGGTCCTCACATGATAGTTAGTAGTAATGCACATTCTTGAACAAAAGTATGTTGCTGAAACTGAAGTGATATAACTGTAAGAATGAAATAATCATTTTTAGCTGTGACAGCTGGTTATTGGTTAATATTTTGCCCTACCCCCTCCCCTTTAGATTTCCCTGTTTTATTGTCTCTCAAATGAACTCTTCGTTACCACTTGTATTTATCTGATGACAAGACACTGATCAAGAATAGATATGTACACCAATACTACATACTCTGTGTCTATCACTATATAGATCTCAACAAGAGAGGGCCCTCTTGAGAATGAGCTTCACATAGCAATTGGCACCTACACTAATAAGATAGAGAGAGTTAAGCAATGTATGAGTAGCAGAGTTGACCTTGGGAGCAAGGGAGACAGAGAGACAGAGAGTCAGAAGGAGGAGACACCAAGTCACTTCCTGAGTTGAAAGTGTTGCATAGAAAGAGCTCAGAGAGGATAGCATCTACAAAGTAGGGATGAAACAGCATAAAACACAAAAAGAAAAAGAGAACAAAAAACTTACGCATCATTTCTGAGCAAGCTAGCCATGTGGCTAGTCTTGTTACCAGGAGCTGAGCAAGCATCTATTACATGTGAGCCTGGTTTAGCAGATAGGACATAAGCTGGAAAACAGCTGGCCTGGAAAGAGAAAAAATACAAGAAACAAATTTGGTAACTACACCTTTAAAGCAAGAGATGAATTTGAGGATGAATCTTTGCGGCAAGATATTTCTTTTGAACGAGGAGAGGAATTTCCTACTCTAAAGAGATTCTGCATATATCAGAATATTCTTTTTGAGCTTCCATTATCAAGAAACCATAAATCATTGTGTGGGGGTCGTTCTTCTATTTCAAGGGACCACTTTGCTGTCTCTCTCCATCCCCGTGCTTCCCCCATCCTCATAGACACTTGTTCCTCAAAATAAGCTATTAAACGACAAGTCGATATCTTGCTTACCTGCTTTGTGTCAATTTTCTTTTCTTTTTTTGAGTATTTTTACTAAAAACGAAGACATTAGTAAACACTTTCTCACAGGTTTAATGGCAACCGCTGCACAATACAAGTGGGGTGCGACGGTGGGGTGCAGGCACGAATGCGTGCCTAAAGTTAGCAAATGCAATCTCAGATCCTCATTAAATTCATGCAAGTAATTCACATTATGAATTGATGATGACTGACCCCGGCTCTGAGCTGCACAGGCCCCGCTATGGCTGGAGTTTTCAAACACGCAAATCTATTGTCTGAACTTATTCGCAACAACGTTTATAGCCTATAATGCCTTCATAAAGAGTAATAATCCCGCAAATGTTTTCTATAACGTTTCAAGATGACACACTCCTGAATGAAATGTCAAATGATTTGAGCATATAGCCGTAGATATTATAGGTAAACAAGTGCAAGTCTAGCTAGCTGGCTGTGTGTTTGTCTAGGATGTGACGTCACGATTCAGAGCTCGCTACGCTTGCGTGCTTGGCTTGTTTTTGTTCAGGGGTCTGTGAAGGGTCTTGAAAATTGCATTTGACGCCTTTCCATGATATCTATATGATTTTTCAGCAAAATATTCATGTCTTCAAGAGAAAATCTTTTCATCCATATATAACTTGTCCATAATTATCAGTATTAAAGAATTTTTGGGGGGTAACTCCTTTAACTCTTTGCCCGCCACGTACACAATCCCCCCTGTGCCACATTGTTTTTAGGGTGCCACCTTAGGAGGGGTTCTGCATGGACTATGCTTATTCAACTCGCAATAACTTTTGATTGGTGTACTGTAATGAAAAACTTTGTGTAGCAATATTGTATAGAAATTAATAGTCTTGCCAATGGTATCATTTTTGTAATGTATATTATCATAAATTTTGAGATTATCAACTATACATTTTGTATCCAAGTTTTCGTTTAGAAGGGTATTCTATACCTCTTATATCTAATACTTTGTTATGGAGGTTTATGTCCTGAGTTAGTTCATTGAAAAGATGTATTCATGAGCTTTCACTACATACCAAATTCATGTGTTGAAGGTCACAATGAGCCTGGTAATTTAGGATTGAATAAAGAGTAAGCCGACAATGAACTAATCTCCTATTGAAATTGACCCTGGGTACTTTTGAATAGACTTCCTGTCTCTTGATTGTACTTTGATGACCTTTATTGTGTCTGTAGGTAAGATGGTGTAACATTCTATTATTATTTGCAAGGCTGTGCAAGCTATTAGAATTGAAAGAAATGAATACAAGAACTTATTGATTTTCTACACTAATAAGGCAAGCCATGAACATAATGTATGCTTGAAACATGTACTAAGTTATGAATTGTAGAAAGCTGATGTATAATAAATAAGAATAAAATATATTCGTCTACATATGTAGTCTCATATTGACATGTTCATTATAACAAGAGGTAGACAGAGAGAGGGAGAGAGAAAGAAAGAGAATAAGAACGAAGAGACAGGCAGATTGGGAAAGAAATAAGAAGAGACAGGGAGAGATAGAGAGAGAGAAAGAAAGAGATATAAGCAGATACAGAAAATGAGAGTGAGAAGATAGAGATAGAGGGGGAGGGGAAGAAGAAAGAGATAGGCAGATAGGGATATAAATAAGAAGAGACACGGAGAGAGAAAGACAGATAGGCAGACAGAGAAAGAAAGGCAGAAAGAGAAAGTGAGGATGAGAAGATACAGAGGGGCAGAGAGAAATAAGAAACAAGGAGAGAGAGAGAGAGAGAGAGATAGCGGCAGATAGAGAAAGTGAGAGTGAAAAGAAGATATAGGCAGGGAGAGGGGAAGAAGAAAGAGAGAGGCAGATAAACTCTTCAAACTCGCTGTCTGAATCGTGATTGATGTCCACGCCATTATCATGTTCTGTGGGATTACGCAAAAGTGTACGTGTGGGACCAGGCTCATCTTCCTCGTCAGAGTCGGTCTCGCTCTCCTCTGAATCAGAGTCGGCTGTTGGAACAGGGTCCATCACAAGTTCTCGTACCTGATCAGCAGTGAAGAAGTCCCGTCTCCTCCTAATAGGGGCCGTCCTAGCTCATCAGAATATTTGCAAAAGCAGTTTCAAAAACTCAATTTTTCTCGGAAAATGTCAATGTAAACAATGTCTGCGAAAGCGGTGCAATGAAGTGTGATGTGTATACAATGCGAAGCACGCGTTACTATTGTGTGTGTGTGCGTACAATAGAATTAAATGCGTTCCGTGTGTATTGTGAATGAAATGTGACTTGAGTCGAAGTTGGCAGCCCGCTGCATGTTCCGCTAACCGAACGAAGCGGGCAAAGAGTTAACAAACATTACCGCATTTTGCGTTCCGGACACATCATGCAACTACCTTTTGCTAAGCTTCCTAAGGGTGTCTACTTTATTTCAAGAAATGTACCTTGTCCATGAGAATGATGTGACCTTGAAGATAAAGAGGGTGACTGTGGAAGTCTGTCCTTGCTGCAAACACCAGGACATCATCTAGATGAAGATCAGCAGCAAACTCATACTGACCCAGACTCCGACTCACATCCACACTCAGGTTACTGTAGACAGCCAAAGGATAACAACCAAGATTTGGTTAATTGTCATAATAAGGGCTACACACACTAACATTCAGGGGTGATAGTGAGCACTAAAAAAAAAATAGTATTTTGGTTTCCTTTAACCACGCCCCCCTTGAGTAAAAAAAAAAAACGAAGATTCGAGGGGAAAATGGCATCTAACAACATTTTCCCCCCTTTTAAGTAAGACAAATTGGGAAATAATAGGGAAAACATAGGGGAGAATAGAGAAAATAAGGGGAGAGAATAGAGAAAATAAGGGAAAAATCAGGAAAATCAGAATAAAATCAGGAAAAAGAAAGAAACTAGATGGAACTTCGACTGCGCGCAGTCGAAAATGATGCCTCTGTCAAAGAGCAATTTTACAAACCAAAACAGAAGATTTTTTTTAAATTCAAGTTCAATTGTAATCCATTAACAGGTTCTCAGAATATCGTGATTACAAGCAATTTCTCATATACATATATGACCCTTTGATCTTTGACCTCATGACCCTAAAATCTACTCAGTTCATTGGCTCTGCAAGATGTATTGAGTTAAATAGTAATCCATCTGTCAGTTCTAATGAGAATGCGTTCACAAGCTATTTTTGCATACATAATGAGCCCATGACCTTTGACCTTTGAACTCATGACCCAAGAATCTACTCAGTTCATTGGCTCTGCAAGATACATACATGATCTAAGTTTGGTAGGAATCCATCAATCTGTTCTAATGATAATGCGATCACAAGCTATTTTTGCATACATAGTGAGCCCTGTGACCCTTGACCTTTGACCTACTGACCCCAAAATCTAATCAGTTCATCGGCTTTGCAAGATACATACATGACCAAAGTTTGGCAGGAATCCATCAATCAGTTCTTCAGATAACGCGATCACAAGCTGTTTTTGCATAAATAATGAGCCCTGTGACCCTTGACCTTTGACCTCGTGACCCCAAAATCTAATCAGTTCATCGGCTCTGCAAGATACATACATGACCAAAGTTTGGCAGCAATCCATCAATCGGTTCTTCAGATAACGCGATCACAAGCTGTTTTTGCATACATAATGACCCCTATGACCCTTGACCTTTGACCTCGTGACCCCAAAATCTAATCAGTTCATCGGCTCTGCAAGATACATACATGACCAAAGTTTGGCAGGGATCCATCAATCGGTTCTTCAGATAACGCGATCACGAGAACGGGACGTACGGACGGACGGATGGACGTACGGACGGACGTACGGACAACCCGAAAACATAATGCCTCCGGCTACTTCGTAACGGAGGCATAAAAACATCGGTTAAAATTCTGGTTTATCAGGCTTGAACATTGTAGGAAGCGGGTCCAGGATTGAATTATTTACAGTCTGTATGCATGAGCCTAATGTAAATATTTCTAAATTTTGTGTCCCATGTGTCCCAAGCACCTGTTTAGTGTTGAGCAACAAACATTTAATGCACCAAGGAAGACAAATTTTGTGTGATGTAACATTTCTTTCCAGCAACATTTTCTCCAGGCTGTCACACCTCATGGAATAGGGTTGAGGTTCAGTTTTATGTCAGGTATAGGCCCAGTCAGAGGTAGAAGTAAAGAGAGTGGTTAGAGTAGGAATCTGAACACAGACCAACTGTCATCTGGACATGTGTTGGACAACCAAATTTTGCCACATGTTTTGAAACAACACCACTTCCAGACCTTTTTTTTTTTCATTAAACTATCATTTTTTAATAGACCATCATTTCCTATTTCATGAAGTTTGGAAGAATTTGTTTTTTTTCCTAAGTCAATGACATTTTGTGTCATCATTAAAGCCTGAAAATGGAGGATTTGTATTTTTTTAGCACAAAACAAATTGCAAAAGTATTTTCTTTTCTAAATCAGTGTTTTTTTTTCTTTTTCTAAGCTGTAATAATATTCTGTTCAAGATTGGATAAGCATGTTTATGCTTGCAGGTAAACAACAAGTGGACTGATGGATTAATAATAATAATAATAACATGGCAAATACTGGTTAACGCCATATACGACTTCTTTACGGTCAGCGTGCGAAACAGACTGAAGATCTCCTAACGCTTCGGTTTTGTGTAAGTTGCACGCTTCATATTATACCCGATTGGCTCCTGAGTCGTGCTACACCCCCTTTAATGCCTTACCAAAGGGCTCAAGCACATCAACTTGGTTTTAAACCCAGAGGCCTCCCAGTTACAAAACCACTACTCTACCATTGATCCATTTGTGTTCCTCTCCTATTCTGTATGAAAACTAATTCAGATTACACGATCAAACAGTGGATATTGAATTTGATTTCCTATAAACAGTCTTGACATGGTTTTGATTCATACCTGATATACTTTGGAGTAGCATCTTGTTTCTCTTCTTCTGCTTCATCCCTCGTCATCACACAGGTGTACCCAGCCTCGATGAAAGCAGCGATGACATCATCAATGCTGGTCTTCAGGAGGTTCACACGTATGTACCTTGGAATAGAAACTGAGAATAGAGATTGCATTATGTTTTTATGCTAATAGGCATAGCACATTAGACATGATATGAGAGGAGCATCGGCTCTGAGGACACAGTGTACATATGTTCACTGTCTAGGTATAAATCATGATTTAGTTCGAAATATGCATAGAACGGAGCTGGTAGCCCCTCTCCACAACCCTTCAGGATTAATGTTGATGGTTGCTATCAGTTTGACTAAGTATATTTTCATACCGCAGGAAAATTGCTTAGATGCATTTGGCAGGCCAGATCGCTCTGCCTGCCTCAGCATCACCCGCTTTTTACTAATTTACACTCTACATTCATAGTCTTTAGATTTCATTAGGTAGAGTAAAATATATTTTTCTATATTTCAACTTCTGCACCGAGGTCCTGTTCATACTAGATAACTGCAAAATACAAACAATAACATCAAGTTATTGATGAAGTACATCATACAGTCAATTCTGTCTTAGTCGCAACTCTAAAAGCCCACGTCTCTAGTGAACCTGTATTTTGTTTCCCTCAATAAAGAAATGTGTGTTGTAGAAACTGTCTAGAAAGGCCTCCTGTCTAAAGTGGCCACTTTCTCTCTTTCCCTTAGGTGGCCTCAATGTTAGACAGGTTTGACTGTATTTATAAAACCTAATTTTAAAAGGTGAGCAATGTTTAAGCCCCTCCACATGGAGCAAAATATCATTTTAAAAATACATTCAACATTTTGTGTACAATACACTCAATACTACTATACATGCAAGATAACATGGATATATCCTGGTATGCATAATTTGTATACAACTTTTGTCTTTTTAAGAAAAAGGAAACTGCTTTACCTTCATCTTTGACTTGACTTGGTAACAGATCAGATGAACTGGTAGCTCCTTTCTTCTCTTTCATCTTCTGTAGCTCAGCCTTCAGCTCCTTCTTCTGTTTGACCACAGCCTTACGATACTTTCCCGAGCATGCGCCAGCAAGCTTCTTGCCAAACAGAAAGTCGTACAGGAGCACCTGAAAAAGAATTTGGTTAAATTAGAACATTAAGAAGGAGTTCAGATCTATGATTCCAGGTATAGGATTTTTGTACAATGGGATCTATAATTCTGCACATGTATTTCAGTGTACGTGTTTGCATGCATGTTTAATAGGTGTAGTTATTTTGGTACATCATCAAAATTTACTGTCTGATCCCCCCTATTTTCGGGAGGGGGTTGTCCTTTGGGGGTGGTTGTCCTCGGGGGGGGGGGGGGGGGTAGTTTTCTCGCTGGTAATTGCCCAGGGTGATTGTTCTAGAACCACCTTGTACATGATGTACACCATACTTACCAGTGCTAGGTTTCTATCCATCCATGGGACCTTCTGTAGAAATGCAGTGCTGTCAATGATCTCCTCAATGATTGTAGCATACTTCAATGACTCGCAGACAAGGGCATACAACTGGCGGATATTCTGGGAAAAGTAGAACAATAATAGTGACATTTATTTTCACAGTCTACACTATTGAGGGCGTGCTTCAAGTGAAAATTTTGAGACAAAAAACTGTGACCAGCTTCATAAGCAAATCAATATCAAACTGTATATGCATGTATGCTGTACATGGAAAATAAAGTGTGGTGAGTGATGTAGTTTTTTGTTGTTTAAACTAATACCCAACCTGCACTATGAACATGACTGACAAAGAGAGCAGACAAAATATACAGTTCCTCAGGTAGACAAAGGAACACCCCTTCACTGCTATTATGTACAAATGTGTAGAACAGGTGTCACATGCATATTCAATTTTTTACATAATAGCAGTGAAGGGATGTTCTTTTGTCTACCTGAGGAACTGTATATTTTGTCCGCTTTCTTTGTCAGTCACGTTCATAGTGCTGTCAAATAATCCAGAACACTTCAAATTAATAAAGGTGGCAAGTATGATCCTGTGTGCTTTTATTGGCTCACAAACATTTGAAATTAGCCTTATTACTATTAGGCCAATCTTCCCACCGTCCCAATTAGAGTTATCCTAATTACCTTGCATTTTGATTCAAATTTGCAAACAATTACAGCTCAAAATTGTTATAAGAATTCTTGTCAACTTGGTTCACATGCAACATCAATTCAAACTATCTAGGTCTACTAAATAATTTGAAAAAGGTAATTTTTGGGGGAAAAATCAAACACTTTAAAGTGAAACTGTAAATGGCAAATAGACTATTCATAGTCTTATAGACCCAGCTCAGAGCCATAGTACTTCGAAGATTAACAACAGAAAAAGATTTTTTTCCCCTTCTTTTTCCTTTTTATAAAATTAAAATATGACCGCACAAATATTCTCCACGGAATCAATAATTAGACAGCCTGTCATAAATCTACGCCAACGTGTACAGACCTATGGGAGCCAGGCTAGAAAGGTTCTAACTGGGTAACTGATAGATAAACTTTGGCCCTTAATCAATTATGGCTATGCCTATCAGCAGGTCAGCGATTTCTTTTCATGACCAGAGGCAACAAAATGCGAGGGACGAGGGAGCAGTGGCGTAATGAGCAAAAATGTTTGGGGGGAGAAAAAAATCCACATCACCACCACTCTTAGTCTCTTACATGTTACACAGGCCCTGGGGACTTTTTTCTAAGTGGGGGTGGGGGGGGGGGGGCTATTTACGATCAGGTCGAGTAAAGCAAAGCAAAGTGGAGCGTAAATTGGCGTGGGGTCCAGGGGCAAAGCCCCGGCAGGTGTCAAGGGGCGAAGCCCAGGGTTTTAGGCATTTATTAAGGTCAATGAGAATATTTTGATATCTTATTTGTGACCCTGGCATGGAGGACACTAATTGGAGTGGGGTCCAGGGGGCGGAGGCCCCGGAGCCCCCAGAAGCTTAAGGGTTTTAGGCATTACATCACGTTCAGATGAGCATACAGGGGCCGCCTTAGGGCCCTTGGTGGGGTCAAGAGCCCCTGGAAGCTCAGGCGTTTAAAGCATTTAATTACGGTCAGATGAACAACCAGAGGCCCGCCTTCCGGCCTTTGGTGGGTTCCAGGGGGCAGAGTCCCGGAAGCTGGGGGGAAAATCATACCATTTCAGCAACATTTGTAATATCGCTGGTATCGAATAAGAAATAAACCACGTTTGAATTTCATTTGGGGGGGGGGGGGAATTACCCCTAAAGCCCCCACCCCCCCCCCCCCCCCCCAAAAAAAAAAAAAAAAAAAAAAAAACAGTGAACAAGTGCGAGGGAGCAATGGTGAATGAGACGGGTGAAGTGAACCCCTCACAGGTTCTCGAAGTTTTCTCTATTAAAAATTACAGTCCTTAGCAAAACTAGGGCATAAAAACAAGCAATACATGTAGATTATACTTCTTTCACACTTTACTCTTCTTGGCATTTATTTGTACATTTTGAAGGATATTAGCCTAGATCTAGAGTCTATGTGAGGTAGAAGAGTAAGAAGATTTTTTGCATTAGTATTTGTCTAAACGCTGCACTCTTTGTCACGATCCATTTGATTTATCAAGAATAACCCAAAACAAGTTTTGGGGCTAAAATTGTTCAAAAAGAAATATATACATATAAATTCACCTAAAATAAATAATAAATAGTGTCATTATCATATTTACATCATCAAACAATTTGCATATTTCTGTAAAGATTCTTAAATTGAAGAAAAAACCGATGAGTGTTTTTTTTTTGACAGTCGAATCAAAAGTTAGTTGAAGGATACCGTAATGTGATAGTTTATCAATACGTACTTTTTTGTTTATTGTGACGAGGAATTTTAGGCAAAATGTCTTTTCTCAGCCAGTTTTTATTCTAGAGTCTCATAAATACTCGTTATATAATTGATTTGATATTGAAAATATAATTTGGAAGAAGTAACTAGAGAGGGAATAATAATGCACATAGGCCCCAAAGGTATGACGGTATCCTAAGAAAAGACTATAGATCGACTATGGAAAACGGTGTGTAACATTCTTACCTCTCTTATTTATATGTTATAGTTTAATGATTTGTGATTTAATGTTTATATTCAGCTTTTTAAAGTTTCTGTATAATTTGTATTCTCACTTTTGTACATTTGCATTTCGCATCCCAGAGAATTACGTACCGAACTCGTCTATATTTTTCTCAAAATGATAGTGAAACTAATCGTCCATTTCGCGGCCCATGGAATGGCAACAAACTGACTTGTGATGGCGCTTTACAGCAATTAAAAAGATATGACAGGTTCGGAGCAGTGACAACTCGCTTGTCGCGGAAGTTGTCGCTCATCTTGGCAAAGACGGCTTCGTGAAACACTTACTTAGCTGACAAGTTGCGTGACAGTGGCGAGATGTCGTTGATCTTGTAGTTATGACGGTTTCGAGAAACGGCCCCCAGTATATTTGCTATAGTCTACAGGTCTAGACTCTAGCATTTTTTTCTTCACTTTTTCAAATTTTGAGCAGGACGATGCCCCCCCCCCCCCACCTCCTAAACAAATTGAGGGGGTATGTGCTCCATCCCCCCCCCCCACCCCGTCACTCTGGGATCACCGCCCCTGCCTATCAGTATCATTCACTTAGTCGTAGATCATTTATAGTATTAATATCATCATGAGAATTGAGACATGACTATCCCTACGTACGATCGATATGCCTGCAGGAGATAACCAGCCCTTTTTTGTATTAGTGGGACTGCAACCTGGTCTAGATCTAGGTCTAATTGTAAATCTTACCTTAGAATTACTTTCATAAACCAGCGATTTAATTGACTTTTCCTTTATCTGTGCCTTACTGATGACAGCAGATGCCTCATCGTAGATATCTGTTTTGACGAAATTCGGCGGCATGGCGAACTCTCTTAGATGAACTGCTTTAGAGGGAACACACGTGCTAATATGTCGACGGAGATCAGTGCAGTACACGCGTACGTCGATCAGTCGACCGGCCAGCTCAGGCCAGCGCAGGCGATAGGCAGGGCGCCGCGGGGCCCGGCATGCAGGGCTAGGGGTTGGGCAGCTCGGCTAGGCTTGGAGCGCGGAGCTCGCCACCTGTACAATGCTTCCATCTAAACCAGGCTTCGTCGCCCTCTATCAAAATTAAGGTTTTGATACATCCTGATTGGATATTTTCTTTCATTTAATTTGATATCAATGTAATGAATATTTGGGTGTAAAATAACGAAGTTTTTTTTTTTTTTTTTTTTTTTTTTTTTTTTTTTTTTTTTTCTGTTTTTATTGTTATTTTTGAAAAATTAACAGAGTAAAAGCAGCAATATAAAATACAATATCATCTTAAAACTACAAAACAGGCACGCACTCATGCACCCATAAACATACACACACACACACACGCACACACACACTCACATACTTTCCCAGAGGGCAAGTTTACATTTCAAAAAGTCAATGAAGATGTTAATGACAACAGAGCTTTGCAAGACTACTCCTAAATTTCAGTTAAACTTGATAGACCATTTCTTAAAATGGACTTGTAACTTATTTTTCTTTTGGGCAATTTTATATTCTATTTTTTGTTTGAACTTTACCATTGAAACAAATGCTTCGAAAATAAGTTCTTTTCCCTGAAACCTACATGAGTAAATATAATATTTTAAACATAAACAGAGAAAATTTATACAAGAGGCGTATTTGTCCCTTGACTGTATCCCAAACAAAAAATTAAATTTTGACAAAGTCAGATTATAACTGTGATCAGTGCCAGTGTTAATCTTATCCACCAATTTTTCCCACAGTGGTACAACTCTCCTACAGTCACAAAACAAGTGATCTAAAGTTTCTGGAAAATCTGAACAAAAATAACAATTAGCAGACTCCTTTCTCCCAATCTTGAACAAAAATGCATTAAAACCAATAGCATTATGGAAAATTTTGAAATAAAAACTCCTTAACTGAGTCTCAATCGTGCAACAAAAGTTACTCGTATGAATAATCGACCAATCCTTCTCTTTGGGTTGATGGCCAAATAGTTCCTCCCACTTACTCTCCCTTTTGGCATTAGTACAACTATATTTCTTCAGCAAAATATTATATGTATACTTAGACATTTTCTTTTGACTTAATAGATCTTTAAAAATTTGATTAAATATATTCTCATCCACATTAAGAGAATTATCAAACCACTCCAAAAATATGCCATTCATGAGGGAGTCATATTTTTTTTGGTCTCTAATAGGAATGTCAAACTCAATTACGAGGTCTTCAAATGTTTTGGGATTACCAAAACCATTATGTAATTGAAAAATGGAATGAATACCCCTTTCATACCAAACTGGATAGAAAAAATGTGTTCTATATTGCAATCTTACATTTCTATTCCACCAAATAAAATCTTGTAAATGAAACTGACATAAACCTAGTTCTCTTTTCATCTCTTGCCTATATAAATACCATGTCTTAATAGACGCTGTTAACTGGCAATTTTTAAGTTTTGCCAAAACCGAAGCAGGGGCATCTGCCTTAAAAAGGGCAAGATGGTCATCACAAAAGGTAGAAAGAATATATATTTCTATTGTTTTCCAACAACTTTCATATTTATCGTCTAATAGTTTAGCCATCCACAAAACTTTCTGCGCTTGAATAACGAAGTTAGTTATGTTTAGTTAATGTTAGTGAGGAGACCAATACTCGCATCCTTTGTGTACGGTGTCGGTGCAAGCCATATTTTTAAAAAGCCTTGTCTTTGATGGCCGGGCCTTTGCATTCGTAGTATAAATTCATGTGACATCATTTTCCATGCCATATTTGGAATCAGAAGGCTGGCTCTTTACATTAATACCAAACATTTAGTAATCACCTTAGAAACAGATCCACATTAAAAGAGAATCAGAGCTTTTTTTCCTTAACCTCCAGAAAAGATCACACAAGTGAGATTCCTTGGTCACACCTAATATCCGCGAGGACATGTCTTATACCCATTTTTTGACAAATTTCTTCCACGAATTGTGAAAAATGATTGGTGTATCTAAATCTTGAGAAGTTCCATTTTCCAGTCATAACAAAATCTCAGATTTGACCAGGAGGCAGGGGCGTCGCCAAGGGGGGGGGGGGGGGGTGTTACATCCCCCCCCCCCCCCCCCCCCCTGTCAGGATATTGTCGGTAAAATTGCGCCGTCGTCGGGAAAAAAGAGAAAAGGGGGAGGGGAAAAAAGAGAGGGAAAGGGAAAGAAAAGCCGAAAAGGAAAGGAAATAAGAGAAAGGAAAAGAAAGGAAAGAAAGGAAAAGAAAGGAAAGAAAAGAGAAGAAAGAAAGATAAAAAGGAAAAGAGGGAGGAGAGGAGAGAAAGGAAAAGAAAGAAAAGAAAGAACCCCCCCCCCCCCCCCCCACTCAGTGTTATTTAGGGTACGCATATGCTCGTACCCTCTTTTTGAAAGCACCCCCTATCTGAGGACTGCCAACATTTCCGAACCCCCCTTTCGCGGGCTTTTCGCGGGCTTTTCCTGCTTTGGAGACCCCCCTAAATCAGGAAAAATGCTCAATGTACCCCCCTAAATTCGGAATAATTTCTCAGGAGTCCAAAGAGATGATAGAAAAAAAGAAAAACACCCCCTTTTTAAAGAAATCTCCGGGTGAAAAGTCAAATACACCCCTTTTTTTACAATTCTCGGGCCGGACTTTGTCGCACGAAAAGTACCCCTTTACCGGACATTTTGGCAACACGCATGCGGTCATTTCGACCTCTGAGTGGGGGGGGGGGGGGGGGGGGGGGGGCGGGGAAAGAACTAGGAGAAAAAGAAGAAAAAAGAGAAGCTTAGCTATAGGGAAACAAAAGAAACGGGAATGACTCAGAGAGGGGGGGTAAGAGCCGTGAGAAATGCAGTCACTCCTTTATTCCAAGCAATACTGTAGATCTACTACTAGTTCAGAATCATATCCAGACTTTTGACCAGTGACCCAGGCCATGGTGTGGCCGGTGAGAGTCCTAAAAACCTAAAACATAGGTCTAGATCGGCCTACCCCAAATCAAGCAAATATTCATGAAATGTTCAAATAATGCCGGTCATGATTTAAAAGTCGTTATGTTTCTAACCTGTTTCTGGTCAATTTTTCTTATTTTGGGGGGAGTATTTTTCGGGAAAAACGTTGATTGTAGTATACACTTTCTGACAGGTTGCACGGCAAACCGCTGCACAATACAAGTGCATACAGATGGAGGGTTGCGGGGGCACGTAAGTCTGCGTGAAGTGATCTACCTCCTCATTGTACGGTAGATAACTTCACACAGGCGTGCACCCGCCCGCAACCACCATCGGTATGCACTTGTAATGTGCAGCGGTTTACAGTGAAACCTGTGAGAAAGTCTACTATAGTACCGGCCCAGGCCCAGATATTTGAAAATTGAACATTGCGTGTCGATACGTAGAGGAATAAAGCAGTGACTTGTGTCACAAACATATAACCTTAAATAATTTCTTTCTACAGTCTTTAGACAGCAAATTTAGCTTATAGGCTGCCGTATACAGAAATCTTATCTGGAAATAATCGGTTAGACCTGTAAATGGTAAACAAAATTCTTTCCCCACAGGCTGTTCAAAGAAGCTTGTAGTATTTGTGTTGCACATGCATACATTATCAACCTTTCATTTTGTTTTAACTTTATTCATTTTCTCATTTATTTGTAGGCATCTTTTTTTAACATCTTTCGTCAAAGAAGTGGATTCAAAGCACATTGTGGCCTCAGTATATTGATGTGAAACCATGCAGAAAATGCTACTTTCTCTCAACCTTGTGGATGTTCCCTACTTCCCTAAGGATTAGCAGCCTCTTGAAACAGGTGAAGCCATTATCGGTAAATGTGTACATGTACTTGTATTATTTCTGTACATTTATTTGTCATATTGTGCATGATCACTGAGACACTGACGAATTAGACACTACATAATGGTTCATTTCATTTGAAAGGCTTATTTCAGTTATTTGTCCTAAGTTTCAAATATATTTATAATTCAATTAATTTTAGATCACTAAAACCTGCAGGTATGTTGCAATAACCGACAATATTATGTGAGTTTCAAACAGTGTTTTTTTACCCTTCAGCATAGGTCAAGGAGCTTTCATTCTACCCTTATCAGCAAACTACAGGAATGCCAGTTTTCAGGCAATAGCCTGAATTCAGGCCCTGAGGAGTTATTTTCATACCATAGTTTAGGTTTTTTGTGTACAAGCTAGCTCATTCTAGGTGATTTTTCAGGTCCTCTGATCAATTCTAACTGGCATCCCTGAAACTAGAATTGTATTGATAATTAACCAAACAAAATCCTGAATCACGTTTTGCATTGCCCACAAATGTTTAAAACCCAAAGGTGTGTTGACTTTATGTTTGTGAGCAATAAGAAATTATTTCTGATAAATCTTACCAAGCAGTACTTTTCTGACAGAATTAATTATTTACGTTCCAGTTTTAAAATATATGAAAGTTTTTCTTAAATTGTATTCCTTTCTTTTTGCTTTATTCATGCATTAGAATTCCTTGCGTCTATGTTCCTTGGATCTGAAAACAGTGCATAATGCAGGAGATTCCACCCAAAAGCTAACCCACAAGTCCAAGCTGAAGTGGAATATTTCGCAAAATTTGATCTACACTCACCCGATAGCTTTACTGCTAGAGAAAGGTTATTTTTTCACTTCATTATACTTTATAGAGAGAGATTGGGGGAGGGGGAGGGGTGAGGTGTAGCCACAAACCTGAATGGATAAGCTGTAGAACTGAAATTTCCAGTCATGTTACTTGCAATTTTAATGAATTACAGGATTTACGAACTGACATAATAACGATTTGGGTAAAAGTCTAAAAGATTCCAGTATTTTGAGGATATTTGTAATTACTATTCATGAAGTTGACCTGTTTCATAATGTCTCATGCTCACCCCCCTCCCCCCACCCCATCCACTTCATATCAGTTCTTAAAACATGTTGCAAATTATATATACATTGTAAGTTGGTAATAGAGAAAAATTGAGTGAGGTAAATGCAATACAAATCGAATCCATTATTAAGCAATTAAGACTTGTTCAGGTACGGCACGTGAACCTCCAACAAATTTCAAAAATGATGCAGTTTGGTTTTATGTGTAAAGTGAATGGCAACAAAGGACCTACCGGTGCGTGTCTTTGTATGTTTCGGACTGCGCAAATTCAGTGAGCTCTTTTTAATAATATACACTATGTAAAGCGTATTGAACTCTATGTCAGCATTTAAAAAACTCTGCGATTTTGACTGTTTTGCAGCATCATATCTGAGCAAGCCTTAACGGGACGTGGTAAAATTGTTCAGATGAGAGACAATTGTGCTAAGGTATTGACTTCAATGCTATATGTACACTTAAAGATAATCTGAAAGTTTGAGTGAAAAAAGACCATTATTGATGATAAAAATTGGGAACAACTGATCTGATCGATTCCTTAATTCTTCCAACTATATTATTATAATTTAATTAAATTTTAGGTGAATGTAAATCATCACAAAGAAAAGAATTGGCTCTAATACCTTAGATTTTTAAAGGCCTGTTTTATATCTTATTTTCATGGAAAAACGGTTGGGGGAAAATTCAAAAATTTATTGGGAGAATGAAGTGTTAAAGAGTGACACACAAAGAAAACCATAAATATCTTTGTGGTTTGAGAATTTTTTGGTAGTTAAAAGTATAAAATTCTTGGATTGTATCTGTCATTTTGAGAGCACTATATGGCTTACCTTTATTGAATTCGCTTTTAAAATTTAAGTTAAATTAATATTTTGTGAAACTCCCCCCAGGAGTTTCAAACGTGCCAAATGAATGTTGTGACATTAGCAATAGAATGTATCTCTTTGTGCTAAACTTGTTCAGCATGTTTGCTATTTTATCTTAAACTTGGAAATATCTTCTGAATAATTATTGCACAGTCACCTTGGAATTGCCCAACAAAGCCACTCGTACTGGCGGGAATGTTATCTGATAGAAATTGTATTTTTATACTTGAACTTCAGCTTCTGTATTTGCAACAATTTTTTTTTGGATGATATTTATAAAATATGAATGTTGCCACTAATGCCTTTTCTTGTATTTAAGTCATGTGCCAGTAAGAAGCAGGTTTCTAGCACAGAAAATAGGTACAGTTGAGCTGATATCTGCACAGTTTTCCAATATGCTGTATCGCCAAATGTGAACATCGTGGTTTCAACGGGCAAGCAACCATCATCAGAAAACTCTGCAGGTATCAGTGAAGCTGTCCCTGTTCCCCTTGCTGCCAACTTGTTCCTTTTGAGTGTAAGAAATAACTTAGCTAAGCCATGTGTTTATCATTTGTGCCATTTTTCTCTTGTGTGTGATTTAGATTGTATAGTTTTATACTTTATACTGAATTCTTGCCATAAACTTAGATATTCCCCTTGTATGTAACAAGTATTGATCTTTCATGCTCAGGAATTGTTTCCAACAACCTTTTGTTTTATGTTATAGTCTTTATCTGCATTAAAGTATTGGGGTTGTGAGGAGCAGTGTTGCAGCATGGAGAAGAAATAGAGCTGCACTGATGAATGCCCAGCTTTCCACTATGCTGTTTTGCTGAATATTACCCCATTCACAGTGGCCTCAAACACCGCGACAGCAGCGGGACTGTCCCGCTGCTGTCGCGGTGTTGTCTTCAGTGTGAAGGCTCGGACCCGTTATAAACTATCGCGGGATAACACCGCCTCGCGATAACGCCGCGACAAACTATCGCTAGGTTCGCCTAGCTACAGCAGCGGGACAGTCCCGCTGCTGTCGCGGTCTTTACTCAGTGTGAAGGCTCTCCGCTATAACACCGCGACAAACACGTGTGATTTGTTTACTTACCTATCACTGACCTCTTTTCTCCAGCAATGGGGAACATAAAGTGAAATAGAAATAAAGTAACCAGTGGATTCAAATTGATTTTATTATTATGTAGATATTATAATTATCCAAATAAAAATATTTCACACTTCAAAAAATTAAAATATTCTGACTGGAAGCAATAAAAATGCTAGTTTTTTAAAAAGTAATATGATCGAGGATACGTAAAAGTATAGATAGATCCATAGCTAAATCGAGCTAGCTACATGAGGAAGAGTGTGTAAAGTACAGCTAGCGCGCGCAATTTCAAGCAATCGAAAACCCCGCGCTGAAGTATTTCCGGTCATATCGGGGTCACTCGCGGGTCATGAGCCATGCATACACGTGTTTGTTACGGAGGTAATAAAAATCACCCGCTGCAGCGTGAATGGGTACATGATATTTATCCCGCTGCTGCAGCGGGATAACTTTTCTACTGTGAATGCATTTGTAGCGGTGTTATCGCGGTGTCGCCGCTCCGCTACAACGCCGCTACAAATTTCAAAACCACTGTGAATGGGGTAATAGATATATAGGGAGTATAAACATGATGAGTATAATAACAAAAAAACTATACAAAGAGTATAACTAAACTATACTAGGTCTACAGTACGTACAAACAATCCAAATTCTAAGAGTAACATGTAACCTGCAAGGTTGATAAAAAAAAACATAATAAACTAACTCTAAGCTGTACCTGTAACTGTAAGATAAAAAGAAGTACATGTATAACAATCAATAACAATCTATTGAAGTTGTATCTGGTAACAATCTGTCTCTGTTCAACTAACCAGAACGATAAACTTATAATAAATAACTATTATAAAAAAAACAAAAAACAAGGATACTGGAATCCTTGGTAACAGGAACATAATGGTCAATTGCCATGTGTCAGCAGGCTATTCAGCCAAAATCTCCAGAGGCCCGATGTGTACCTAATACCCCATTCACAGTGGCCTCAAACACCGCGACAGCAGCGGGACTGTCCCGCTGCTGTCGCGGTGTTGTCTTCAGTGTGAAGGCTCGGACCCGTTATAAACTATCGCGGGATAACACCGCCTCGCGATAACGCCGCGACAAACTATCGCTAGGTTCGCCTAGCTACAGCAGCGGGACAGTCCCGCTGCTGTCGCGGTCTTTACTCAGTGTGAAGGCTCTCCGCTATAACACCGCGACAAACACGTGTGATTTGTTTACTTACCTATCACTGACCTCTTTTCTCCAGCAATGGGGAACATAAAGTGAAATAGAAATAAAGTAACCAGTGGATTCAAATTGATTTTATTATTATGTAGATATTATAATTATCCAAATAAAAATATTTCACACTTCAAAAAATTAAAATATTCTGACTGGAAGCAATAAAAATGCTAGTTTTTTAAAAAGTAATATGATCGAGGATACGTAAAAGTATAGATAGATCCATAGCTAAATCGAGCTAGCTACATGAGGAAGAGTGTGTAAAGTACAGCTAGCGCGCGCAATTTCAAGCAATCGAAAACCCCGCGCTGAAGTATTTCCGGTCATATCGGGGTCACTCGCGGGTCATGAGCCATGCATACACGTGTTTGTTACGGAGGTAATAAAAATCACCCGCTGCAGCGTGAATGGGTACATGATATTTATCCCGCTGCTGCAGCGGGATAACTTTTCTACTGTGAATGCATTTGTAGCGGTGTTATGGCGGTGTCGCCGCTCCGCTACAACGCCGCTACAAATTTCAAAACCACTGTGAATGGGGTATAAGACAACTATACGAGGGGTTCACTAACATCTTTAAAATACCATTCTCAGACACATCCACTCTCTGGATGAACTTATACATAAGATTTCGTAATACAGCCGAACAGGCTGGAACATTTAACTCAGCAAACATTTGACTAGCACTAAAGTATCTAGGTACCAAGAAGCATTCTCATGGCATCATTATAGGCAACAGTAAGCCTGTACAAACTGCTCTTCTTAAAATTACACCACAGATGCGCAGTGTATAGAGGTGTACAGTATGCCCTAAATAAAGCCACCTTCACATCCGGAGAACACATATGAAATTTCCTAACAAGCATATTACCTTGAGCATATACTTTACGACACTGTCTACTAATATCTTTATCATCACTGAGATCCTCAGTAAAGAAATGACCAAGATACATGGCCTCTATACAGACATTGAGTTTAGCTTCACACAAATAAAAATCCGGGAATACCAATCTACGGTGTTCCTTACATCTAATTATCATAACATGACTCTTTTTTGCATTATATTTCACATCATTATCATATCCATAATGAGAACAAATCTTGAGCAGACTCTGCAACCCAGCAGTTGACGGGCTAATAATAACGAGATCATCTGCATACATTAAATGATTGACTACCATACCACCAACTACACAGCCTTTTTACAAGCATTCAGATTGTCAGATAGACCATCCATGTACAGGTTAAAGAGAAAGGGAGAAAGAATACCACCTTGTCTAACACCATTACTGACATGGAATGGTTCAGAGACACTACTTCCCCATCTAGCCATCATTGTTTGATGGGCATACCAAAACACGAGTATCCTAATCAGGTACTTAGGAATACCTCTATCAGCCATTTTCGTAAACAGCTTTTCATGATTTATCCGATCAAAAGCTTTTGAAGCATCAAGAAAACAAAGAAACAAGGAAGATTTTTTGCTACGATAACTCGCAATGATTTCCTTCAGAGCAAATATACACATGTCAGTGCCATGTTTGGCTTTAAAACCGAACTGGTTATCTTTGGTAAGAATATACATCTCTAACCTACCAAGCAATATCTTTTCCAGCACTTTGGACAGGACACTTGCCAATGCTATAGGTCTATAGTTGTCCTTACTAGTAATGCGACCAGCTTTATTTTTAATGACTGGCACCAAAACAACGGAAATCATACTATCTGGTAAGATACCATGAATCAAAAAGCCCGAAATGCACATTGCAAGCAACGGCATGAGTTTCGGGCTTGCAAACTTTTTCTTTTTTTAGTTTCATTTTATCATGCTTATATCTTTTCGATAGAGTATAATGTCCGACATATATTGCAACCGTCAATTAAGGCTGATAAACTATTTCATATTAATTTGATGCAACAGAGATTTACATACAAATCTTTCACTTTTTATATATTGTGTATTTTTCTCATAAAATTAAGGAATCTTAATAAAAAGAGATGAAAAAGAAGAAGAGGGAGAAGACGAAGAAGAACAAGAAGAAGCTACAAGAAGAACAAGAAGAAATTGAAGAACAAGAAGAAAAGAAGAACAAGAAGGGGAAGTAAGAGTGAGAAGAAGAAAGAAAAGATGCGGAGGAGAAAGAAGAAGAACAAAAC